ACCCCAACCAATCACTGACTTTTCAACCACGATATAAACAAGGTGCTCAATGAAACTGGCAAATTGGTTCTATGAGTCATTAAATGGCATGAAGGAGAATTTTACAAGATGTCCAGGACTGGTACCACTCAGTATAATTTTCCTCTGTGATTTTGTCCTTTGGCAGTCGTCCCTGAGTGCACTCTACCCAAAGACAGAGACACAACTAAGAGATGATACATGGTATTTACTTGACCTCCCCAACTGAGTCACGTTGTGACACAAGGTCGGTTTTTAATGTGGCGACCCGAGTGTCTTCACTCAGGCTGCTGGTTTTAGCTTGGTCATAGCTAGTCCAAGTTATAGCTGTGATACTACCAGCGCAGGGACAGATCCCTGTGACTAGTAAGGAAATTTACTTGAACCTACTGAGTCAGGTTGTGACACAAGGTCAGTTTTTAATGTGAGGACCCAAGTGTTTTCACTCTGGTCACCAGTCAAGCTGGTCTTAGCTGGTCTAACCTATTCATAGCCGTGGTACCACCAGCACAGGAACAGATCCCTGTGATTATTATTTATTATGCAGAATTACATAATTGTGGCACAAGGCCAAAAAGGGGGAGGGGTTGAGGCTGGTCCACACTATCTTATACCTAGCTAATCAGATTCATGACCCATTCACTCATTACAATTTTCACATTCACCATAAAAACTCGTCCGTCACCAATCAATCCTCCATACACCATAATACCGCATCCTCACAAGGGGGACCTACAAAATGCACCCCATGCCATAAAATTTAATGATGATAAATTATTATATATACAATTCTAATAGTGAAGAATGAGAGGGGAGGGAGATGAACCCAATAATAAACTCAAAATCAACACAAAGTGAACTAAACATAACTGATGTTAGTAGGGCCTGCCCAACCCTCAAAAAGAGAGGCCACTGTATTTTGTCCCTTGCTGTATTCTGTCCCTTGGACAAAATCAAGAGGCTCTCTTGCTAAGGGAATGGGAAAGGATAAAAATTATTATACGGCCATGGGGAAATATAACGCTCACCCAGTTGAGATAAAAAGGGACCAAAAACAAACTGGGGAGGTTGGGAATCTTGACTTGGACCATAACCAAAGAGCAGCTGGGATACAGGCCAGGAACAACACTTACTCTCATTAACTAGGTACACAAAAGCTTGTCTAACCTAACCAAGGAGAGGGCTCCACAGGAAACCACCCCGATGTGACATAGGTTGACCTAAAAGAGAAAATCAAGGTTAGCCCCGTTCAAATGAACCAAGATCACCTCAGTCATTCACCTTTCGCAGAAGACTGTCAAGTGCTATCGTTTTCTATCAGTTCTAATCTTCATCTTGAGCTGATACTCAAAGAATCGAATTAGATCCTGATGAGAAAAACGGTTACCTTGCAAGACTTCATCCGTCCATGTCATCCAAATCACCATTCGAGCCGTGGTCAACAGCGTCATAAACACCATCCGTTTCACCCCAGAATACGGGGGCAACACATTGTCACATGCATATGCGCGATCAATGAGCATGAGCTTTTGGGGAGCGAGACGAGCTGTCAACTCGCTGACATGGTCCCATAAGGGGCGGACCCAGGGGCAATGGTAGAAGGTGTGCAAAGCTGTTTCTTCTAAACCAAGGCCACACTGTTTGCAGTCTGGCAAATCCGCCACACCCCATATGAAGGCCTTGTCATTGAGAGGCAGCCGATTACAAGCCAGTCACCAGGTAAGCAAAAACTCAAGGTTACTGAGGTAATCCGCCGTTAACGCTCAAGACCAGTAAGAGCAAAACTCATCATCTGACAATCCGAGCCGATCATATAGGGAATCCTTCATGACCCCCCCCCCTCCTCTAAAAAACAATAGAAGACCTTCCTAGGCTGTGAAAGGTCACTGGACCAAGGAACAGCCAACAAGACTAACACTCGCAAAGAAAATCTGATTGAATCCAGGGTTTACAATGGCGCTCAACCCGCGAGGTGGGGGGAGACTGATAGTAAGTAAAGAGAACGCGTCCCTAGCAATCCCTATCATAATTGAATCTCCTGTCAATGGGTAGCATAGGAAAGCCAACCTCAAGGCGAGTTTGTGGCTCACCACGTGTGGCATTCCCAGCCTCACATGACATGGACGTTGTGCACAGACTCGTCTGTCGACCCAATTCCCATGTCCCCTCCATAAAATGAAGGATAGCAAGCGCTCAAGCACCTTCCTATGGTCATCACAGAGAGGAAGTATGGACAATCAATAAAGGACACCTCCACCCTGCCCTTCACGGTCAACCTCCGTTGATGCCAAATCTGAACGGCAGCATTGACCTTTGCTTGTACTTCAGACCAATTTTTCTCCAGCTGGAGGTTGGATCCAAACCACACTCCAAGAATGCGGACAGGACCGTCTGTCCAACCGAAGGGCTCTGGAAGATCAACCCCCTTCTAGGCACCTAACCGCGAGCCGGACAACTTGTCGCAGTTAATCTTGGCCCGTCATTTTTCTGTACCAATCAAGCGCCTTCAGTACTGCCTCAATGTTGCTATGGGATGACACGAAAGCAGATATGTCATCGGCATATGCAGAAACCCTGGCTTGAGCCCCTCCAGGAATGGCGATTCCACCTAGGGCTGGACTGCATGCCCTGTCCCTCAGCTGGTGAAGGAGAGGCTCCAATGCCAAAGCATAAAGTAGGAGGTGACACTGGACAACCCTGACGAACTGACCTAGACAGCACAAAAACACTCGACAGCTTCCCATTCACCTGTACCACAGCACTGGGTGAGCGATACAGGAGGCTAATCCAGTGACAGAAGTCGGGTACAAATCCGGCAACAGATCCCTGTGACCAGTAAATATCTGAATGTGACACTCTAAAAGCTCAATGTCTGTATTATATGTTATCTACTTCTGGGAAATACCAGGTTTACCTAATTTGCATACTGATTTTTAAAAAAGTATATTTCATTAATTAACTGTCCTCCTTTTATTCAAGGATTGTTTTGATTTTCCTATCAAAAATAGTTATGTTTAGGAATATTGTCTTACATAGTACAGCAAAGTGTTTGAAATTTGCATTTTACTTGGCCTTCAACAAGTTGGCATCTATTCATAAAACTTTCCTTAACTATAACAAGCCAATTTATGAGTGAAATATTCATTTAAAATTTTTGTTTCAAATATCTCAAGTAGTGAATATATCTTACTTTGCAAAGTGATAACGAGCGGGCAATGCCTGCTAGTTTAAAATAAAAGGGAAAAAGAAAAACAACTTACTTTGAACATAATTGGCAATGAATCCACTCCTTGTATTGTCTTCATCAGAACGGAATTTCAGCCACAGATCTCCACTTGATGTTATATTTTGCGGTTTTCCCTCACAGAAGCGGCCAATCAAGGAACCACTTGCACTAACATTCCTAGCTTCTAAATAGTCCTTGTTGCAATAATTATATGTTTCAACTGAGAATTCACTGCAGGATAAAGATAAAAATCCATGTGAGAATTTATTAGGTAATTGAATGACAAATTTTATATAATTTCATCCTCTTAAAGGACTTTATCAGAATAAAGTAAGGTTCTTATTAATAAAATTGTACATATCTCAATTGTTTGGTTTGTTTTACAGCATATCAACCTCAATGGGTTATTTAATGCCAACAAACTTTTTATTGCTGGTAATATTTTGTTTTTTTTTCAAATATGTATTGCTGGTAATATTTTTTTCCTTCAAAAATCTATTTTTCTTCAAAAATGTATTGCTGGTAATATTTATTTTTTCAAAATGTATTGTTGGTAATCATTTTTTTTTACAAAGTATTTCTGGTATTAAAACCTATTTTTCATACTTTCATAATGTTTTGACCCCAGTTTGGGGGTTAACTATTTGCCCATAGTTGGGACCCTAACAGATGCTACCACCCCGGGTCAGGGTGGACGTGGGAACACCAGCACTTAAGAGGTGTTTCCATGCTCCTCAAAACCTCCTAATCAGAGGCCTTGCTGTTGGACGTTGTTTATCATCTTACCAAGGACACGAATGTAGTTTATCATCATATCCAAGATGGATATCCTGATTGTAAATATAAACATAAAAACAGAGAAAATATAGACAGAGATATAAACACCAATGCCAGTTATAATTATGTACAGAGGGTAAATGTCTAAAATGTTGGAATGCTAAATTTTATAAATTTCTGGTATCTGAGGTGTCTATACACATACAGCTTAGCTAATCGCATCTGCTTTCCCAATGCTTTTGTTGTTGTTGTGACAGGAGGCACGGTGGAGTAATGGATATCAACTTGGATTGAGGAATCGGAGAGCCGAGTTCGAATTCCAGTCGAATCCATTACATTCACTTAAGTGCTAATACCCTTGGGAAAGGTATAAATCCTCTTCTCCCTCCAGCTATGGGTAAATAGCAGAACAGACTGGGTTCTATAGCCTTGGATGGCAACTGGTCTAGGAGAAGGAAAACTCTGAATTCAAAACCTGCGGAGGGTCGTTTGGGGACCTTGTGGCACGTAGTGCACCAGGTCTCTGTAAACGGCCCTTCAAAAAGTGTGGATGGTCCTGCACAAAACCTTCACCACTATAATCAAATCTCATGTGCTATACATGCGGGTTGGGGACAACTTGTGAATTTCATAATCCCATGAAACTCCAAATGGAGCCGGCACAAACCACCTCAGGTGAATGCCGTTACAGGTATTGTGGCAATAGATGTATTGTGAAGAAAGGTAAAATGTACAATAAACACAAATTTACTGTGGAAGATTCAGAAATTAGGTCACTTTCTATACATTTTTTCCTTAGTAAATTACTGCCATTTTTAACTAAATTAATATTTATTTAAATAAAAGTTATGGTTAGATTCATACCTTTCCCAAGGGTATTTGTACATAAGTTAATCTAATCAACCCAACCGGAATTGGAACTCAGCACTGATTATTAATTCCAAGTCATTATCAATTACAACACCCATGCATCCAAACTTACAGAACTTGGTATTTCCAAGTGGTCACCCATCTAAGTACTGACCAGGCTTGATGTTGCTTAACTTTGGTGATCATAAGAGAACCGGCATTTCAATGTAACATGGCCATAAGCCCACAGTAATTTTTAAAATTACAAAATTTTTGACTGCTCCTGTAGCTTTTCTCAATGCTTGTTATTAAATTCATTATTCTTATTCAATCATGGCTCTCCACAATTTCCTGTCCTTTGCAGATCTTAATAAATTTTGTTGATTTAGTTATCTCTCCGAAACCCTACTCTGCTATCCATTTACTCAAACTCACCAGGTACATTGTGTGTAGGTTGTTTTTTCTCTGCCTTCAATCTATCCTTTGAGTATCAAAATTTCCAAGCCCTCTTTCCTCGTTTGGTGTTCTAGAAATTTCTCTTTCCAATGTTAAGTATAGTTTTCTTTAAAATTTAGTGTTCCCACATCTTCAGCATTTCCCCTCAGTAAATAATTATAACAAACACTTGCATATTTTTTTATATCCACTCATATATAATTCCTTTGTGTATATGCCGCATCCCTTCAAGACATTGGCGAACATGGCTCTCCACAACTTCCTATCTCGTTTGACTCTTAGCATTTTTCTCCTTTTTCTAAGGCCCCTGTCCACAGATTTGCCATCCATTCAGAAAATCTTGTCAGCGAAGTGGCTTGCGGCCTTTCTATTTCTCTTCTCCTCAATATGCCCCTGTGAGGGTTAAGCTTTCCAAACTTGCCTTCCTCATGTGTCCAAGGAATTTTAGCTTTCTTTTTCTGTGTTTGAGTACAAGTGTTCATTTCTGTTGCCCTTTTCTTCCAGACTTTCTTGTTGTGTACTCAATTCTGACTATAGAATTTTTTGTATCCACTCAAGCAGCTTCTTCCTACAAACTTCTGCTTTGTGGAACCAATTCCCAAGAAGATGATTCTCTGATGACTATAATCATAACCTGTTCAAGTCTAGGGTCAATCCTTATCTTCCCCACCTATCTGCATAAACTGTGCCTCCTACTTTGTAAATTTCTATCTTGAGTGGCTTTCTGCTGATTCTAGTCATTTTTTATCCATGTGGAAATTGTCCAACATTCGCTTTTTTTCAGCCATGGCGAAATTGTCCAACATTCGCTTTTTTTCAGCCATGGCGAAATTGTCCAACATTCGCTTTTTTTCAGCCATGGCGAAATTGTCCAACATTTTCTGATGATTTGCTTTTTTCAGCCATGTGGAAATTGTCCAGCATTCACTTTTTCCAGCCATGTGGAAATTGTCCAGCATTCACTTTTTCCAGCTATGTGGAAATTGTCCAGCATTCACTTTTTTCAGCCATGTGGAAATTGTCCAACATTTTCTGATGATTCACTTTTTTCAGCCATGGCGAAATTGTCCAACATTCGCTTTTTTCATCCATGAGAAAATTGTCCAACATATCACACAGCAATAAAGCATTGTTTTCTTTGTTTCTAACAATTTTTTTCCATTTCTAAGAATATCGACTTTATTCTGACAAAGTTCTAAATGACGAAACATGAATTTTTCTGCTTTTTCATTCAATTCTATAAGCATGTATACAACCATAGAAGACACATACCATCAGTAATTACCCATGGTTGGCAGATTGTGACCCTTATTTAGTAAATCTACAAAAATTAAAATATTTTGCAGTTTATGCCTAATAATCAGGGTAAACTTCATAATTTTATTGGATTAGGTGCCTGTCTTACCACAGAAGGAAAATGATCAATTTTATTCAGGGTAGGCACTGCCTACCTTGCCTACCGAGATGACATGTCCCTGAAATATACTCAGGTATTGTCCAGCTGTTAGCATCAGACAGAATGAAAATAATGTAGCTGTTACAGTTGTTACTTTTGTAATTTTCTTTTTTTTTTTTAAATCGAGTTCACCAGAAGCAAGGCAGTATTAATGAAGAATATTTAATTACAAAAGAGAGAAATTAAAAGCCAGACTAACCTAAAACTAATATGAATCCGGTTTCCAGGTGCAATTTTCAACTTCCATATACATTGTATATTCAACGGATAATTTGCTGGGTATCCTGGAGTGCTAATAGAACCTGTACCAGCATAGATTTCACCACCACAACCTGGGGAAAAAAAAAATTGTTTCTTTTCAGTGTTTTGTGTTTAACCTACTATCAGAAGTCAATTACAAAATCCTACTTCAAACTCCAATTTTATAATAGCCAACTTAGGCAATAAAAATTTTTATGAGTTGATATACAGGGTGAAGCAAAAGTTGCACACCATAGGGGTTAATTAATTAATCATGTTTAAAATGTCTAATTTGTTTTGGAATTTATTTTACTTTGCAGAAACAATTTTGACAAAGATGGCTGAAGTGGCCACCAGACATCACACTCTTGGATTTTTTTTGTATGGCCATTTGAAATCAGTTGTTTAACAGATATGCTCAAGAAATATTAAGGAACTTAAAGAATTAAATATGAAACTTTCCAACATGTTAATGAATCATGCAAGCACAGAATGGAAATGGGTTTTGAAAAAGGAGGAGGAGATTTTGAACAGCACATATAACAATCAAATAACAAGTAAATAAAATATTTTACTTTTAATAAATTATCCTTAAGCTGTATGAGTTTTTCCTCACCCTGGATATTGATCTGAAGATCACCTGAGGCATGAAACTGACAGTAACCATGCAGTGTTGATGTCCACACATCTATTATATATTTATATAAGGTGTATCTCACTTGAAACTTCCCATTTTCCCCGATCTTTCTTTCTGGCATGCTATTCTTTATCTAAAGCTCTGCTAATTGTTCATCAGATGATTTCATCTGACTCTGCTGTAGCTGCCCATACAGCAACAGTCCTCCATGAAAAAGACCTTGAAATAATATACAGGTTCCAGCTGATAAATATAAAATTTGTGCACTCTAGAGGTTAATGGAGAGGTCACCGATGTCACCAAATTTCAAACATTTGGACTTTTTTTTGTGGGGCCATTTGAAATCAGTTGTTTATCAGATGCGCAAGAAATGTTGAGGAACTTAAAGAATTAAATATGAATGCCATAAAATGACAGATGAAACTTTCCGACATGTTAATGAATCATGCAGGCAAAGAATTGAAATGTGTTTTGGAAAAGGTGGAGGACATTTTGAATAGCACATATAACAATTAAATAACTAGTAAATAAAATTCATGTGTATTTATACTTTTAATAAATTATCCTTCTATCTCTGTATCTGTCTATATTTCTAAGATGAGATATTATGTACATTATTTGGACTATTGTCCTTATCTTTGTCACCTCAAGGACACATGGCACAGTGGATAAAGGTATTAGTTAGATTCAGTGACAGGACCCAAAGCATGTAAGTTCAATACCTGGTTAAGGTAGTGGGGAACTTGGAGAAGGGAATTAACTGCTATTCATTAAACATGGCATGTGGAACTAGAACAATCTACCCTAGTAAATGAAATAAAGGGTTCAGTTTGATATTCCAACCACCTGAAGAAGGCCGGAGTGTACAACAGCCGAAACGTTGTGATAAATATGGCAACAAAGATGAGGACAATAGTCTGAATAATGTAAATAATGCCCTCTATCTCTATATATTTCACTCGGAACTTCCCATTTTCCCCAATCTTTCTTTTACTCTTCGACTGTCCTGGCATGCTATTCTTTATCTCTAGCTCTGCTAGTCGTTCATCAGATGATTTCATCTGGCTCTGCTGTAGCTGCCCATAGAGCAACAGTCTGTTATGGAAAAGGCCCTGAAATAATATATAGGTTCCAGCTGATAAATATAAAATTTGTGCACCATAGGGGTTAATTATCATTATGGTGTGCAATTTTTGCCTCACCCAGCATAGCTTCAACCGAAGTATTAACATTGTTTTCACACTAAAAGTATTACTGCAAATAATTATGGATCCAGGAAATTTCAGATTTCACTTTTTGATTCTAAATGTCTGTTTTGTTTCTATTTTTTTAAACCTTCCTCATTGCTTACATCTTTTTTTTAAGCATATCCCCTCAAGCAAGGCGGGAAGGCCACTAGCACACAAGGGGTTACAGAGAGCAAGAGTAAAGAGGAGTGTTTGAGGAAAAGATAAAGAGAAGGACAGGGATCAAGGCCAAGGCATCAGAAGATGTCGATTGACATTACATTTGAATATTTGAAGATTATAGCTATCGGGGGGGAAAAAAAAAAAAAAAGAAAGTATTCCGAGAAATAAAATAGTTTTGATTTTCCATTTCTTTTCCTTTACGTAGGAATGAAGTAAACTTTAACAAAGTTAAAACATTATATAATCATTACAAAAGGTATTTGTTTAGCAGAGCAATTTCAAAATAATCATTACAAAGATGCTTTTCATACAGCCAGGTATCCTAAAATATCATTCTTTGAATTCACAACAATTAAACAGGAAGAGGAAGGGAGTTCTACTGTCAGGAAATGCGAGAGAAGAAGCCATTGTGCCCTCTAGTCTGGGTGACCTACAGGAAATTCTGAACTGAACCTTTTATTTTATCTATGGGGGTAGACTGTTCTCATTCCATTGCTCATGTCTAGGGATATCATCTAGTTCTTATTTTTATTTAATAATTATTGCTCACCCAAGTGGGGATAGATCTATTTCAACCTACAAAAGCTATGTCAGTCTTATTCAACCCCAGTGTATAGACTGAGTTTGTGTCGGAATTAAAAATTTCACTGTTACAGTCATCGAAATGGATAAATTCTATATTAATTTTTTTCATGTCTGTAACAGGTAAATTTCTAATTCCGACACAAACTCAATATATATCTGTGCACATTTTTCAAAAATCACCATCACAATGATCACAGTTAAAATAAGTTTATCTTCACAATTCACCCCACTTAGGATGATCTCAAAGTAGATCAAAAGTACTTGGATTAACAAAAAATATGGCACCTTCCTTGATGAATTTCTACTTAGAATCAAGAAGATAATTAGAGAACTAGAAAAGATTAAAAAAATAAAGACATAATATCTATATTATTTAAAGAAACATACACACACTTGATGATTTGTTTCGCCTTGTTCAGATGTTTTTAGTTCTTTTTTTTTTTTTATTTCCAGTTTT